GAGGTTGATGGAGGTCAAGAAGTCTCCCTTTCGTGCATTCTCCATGATCGATTGTAGAGAATGCATCTTGAACCTCCGATACCTCAGAAATTTGTTCAGGCCCTTTAAATTGAGAATTGGTCGTAAAGCCCCCCCCCCAGGCCTTTCATGTTACAAATAACATGGAATTGTTGTTCTATGGGAACGGGCTCCACCATCTGAATCTCTAGCAAATGCTGGATGGCGGTGTCCATGATGTTTCTCTTGGCTGCATCCCATGATACGGGGCAGCTGACAAAAACCCTTGGGAGGGGGGTATGAGAAATTCTAAGGAGAGACCGGATGTTATGGTCTCCCTTACCCACGCGTCTGTGGTTGTCTGCTCCCACTAGTCCGCGTACAGACCCAGTCGGCCACCAATGGGAGCCCTGTCCCTGAAGTCAACGGGAACGACAGAGGGGGACGATTACTTCTTCTGTGAAAAGGCCATTTATTCGTGGGGTGAGCCCTGTTTCTGTCTGGGAACCCCTGACCTGTCTGGTGATACTGAGTTGTCTGGTATCCTTACGCCTGAGTGAACCCTCTCTGGGCACGGTTGAAACTCGATCCCCTGTAGGGATGAAAATAAGACTGCCGAAAGGTGGTCATGGCTCTGTTATTAAAGCACCTAGATAGGGCCGGCAATACTTTCCTCTTGTCCTTAGCCTCTACTAACAGAGGGTCCAAGGATGCTCCAAATAATTTAGACCCCTTAAATGGGACTGACACTAGCCTCCATTTTCGTTTGGAGTCCGCCTGCCAATTTCTGAACCACAGCAGGTGTCTGTCCATGACTGTGGAGGCAATGGAGCACGCTCCAAATCTGGCAGAACTCAGTGTGGCATCTGCAGTGAATTCTGCGGCCGCTACTACTTTGTTAAACTCTTGATGGGCCTTAATGTCGCTGGCCGGTATCTTATCCTGTATCTGTTTTAACCAGAGCAAAGATGCTCTGGTAAAGAAGGATGCAGCCGTGGCCACCTTTATACCCCAGGTCGCTGTCTGATGTGCTTTTCTTAACACCTGCTCCAATTTCCTGTCATCCAGCTTCAGCACCTCCTCCACCTCCGCTAGTGCTGCTGAAGGTAAAGTTAAAGCCATTACTGACTCATCCACCTCTGGCACCTATAAAAGTTCGGTAAGATTAGGAGTTGCATTATAAAACTTGTGTTCACACAAAGTCATGTTCGGATGCGCCGCCAGTGAAGCCCATTGTCTCTGGATCATATCAAAAAATAAAGGAGGCGCTGGAACAGAGCCTCTGTGGCAGGCTCTGAAAAGAGCAGCTCAACCAGATCCTGCATTGTCATAGACCCCTCTGGCCTTGTATCTGCTGTGCCCAACTTAGTTGAGGCCTTCGCTTTGAATAGTAGGGCCTTGAATAAGTGGGGACGAAACAATCTCCTGAAAACAGGTTGGTCCGGTAAAAGACCCTCCTCATCCAACAGCTCCTGTTCTAATTGCCCTTCGTCGAAGGACAGAGATTTGTCGGCCCCAGATAATGAGGCCAAAGAGGAAGAAGAAGAAGTGCTCTGCTGTGACAGCAGCTCCTTCTGTGCTGAAAGGCCCTGGTAGGTACCCAGAGTTGGTGCATCCGCCAGTAATGCTGACTGACTGTGCTGTTGTCGGCCGGTTTCAAAGCCGCGCAGTACCGCCTCCGAGATCCATTTCTGGGCCATATCCGGCGTACATGTGTCTCCCCCCCCCGGATTGGCGTGCCACCGCCTCCATTGGGGAAATTGAAACAGCTGTGGACACTGTGGTTCCCCTGTACCCCTCTACACTTGACTGCAGAGGTGACAACAATAGTGAGACCCTCACACTAGTGGAAGGGCCCAGCTCCAGCAATAAATCCCGTTCCAAGACTGGTTCTGTCACCTGCTGTGCAAGTCCTGCTCTGGTCTCCACCACCCCTTGGGGGCAAAGTTGTTTGCGCTTCTCGGTAGCCTTTAGTTCCTTTTCTATCTGTTTCTCTATAGCATTTTGCAGCCTCTTTTCAACCTTCTCCTGAGCCTTAGATGGTCTCCTAAGAGATATGGCCTTGGCCTTTAGTTTGGCCGCCATCTCCTTGCTTCCTCCCTTAACTTTATGATGGCTGCATTTGGAGCGTCACCCCTTAGACCAGTGGTTCTCAACCATCCTAATGCCGTAACCCTTTAATACAATTCCTCATGTTGTGGTGACCCCCAACCAGGGGTGGGTTCTAAATTTTTTTACTACCGGTTCTGTGGGTGTGGCTTATTTTGTGGACGTGGCTTGGAGGTCATGTGATTGGGTGGGCGTGGCTAGCTGGTCATGTGACTGGGTGGCCATGGCTATATATATAGGGACTACTCAGAGGGCTGAAAAAAGTGATTTCTGACAGGTCCTCGCACTTTTGACCGGTCTTCGCACTTATGACTGGTCATCATTTATGCCCATTGTAGCATTCTTAACAACCGTGTCACTCATTTCACAACTGCTTCTCTTCACCATGGTAACAAGATAGGGCAAAAACGTAAAATGTGAGGACAGTCGTAAGTTCGAGGACTGGTCAAAAGTGCGAGGACCAGTCAGAAATAACTTTTTCAGCCCTCTGAGTAGTCCATGTGCACAAAAGGACTACCCAGAGGGCTGAAAAAAGTGATTTCTGACAGGTCCTCGCACTTTTGACCGGTCTTCGCACTTATGACTGGTCATCATTTATGCCCATTGTAGCATTCTTAACAACCGTGTCACTCATTTCACAACTCCTTCTCTTCACCATGGTGACAAGATAGGGCAAAAACGTAAAATGTGAGGACAGTCATAAGTTCGAGGACTGGTCAAAAGTGCGAGGACCAGTCAGAAATAACTTTTTCAGCCCTCTGAGTAGTCCATATGCATAAAAGGATACAGCAATAGAGCGGGATGAAGGAAGGGAAGGGAAATTAGAGTAGGAGGGAGGGTAAGAGAGGGAGGAAGAGAGGAGGAGAAGGAGAAAGGAAGAGGAAGTAGGGAGGAGAGGAAGAGGGGGAGGAAGAGAAAGTAAGAAAGAAAGTAAAGAGAGAGGTGGTAGGTTTGAGGAGAAAGATTGCTGTACAATAAAAAAGATGAAAGGGAAGAAAGCCAACCCCAAACAAATATAAAGATATTACGATAAAGAATGAATTGTTAAACTTTAAAGAATAAAAGAGAACAAATATGAATAAATAACAATAATTAGAAACACACATACAAACATACAATGTATTTTCTTTGAACAGAGTATTTGGCCGGTTCACAAATTTAAACAGTGTTTAGTCATTTCAATTAAATTTACAATTTCTATATTTCCTTTTTGCCATATTTATTCCTTATCTATTTTTGTAAAAAACCAATATTAGCCTTCATCCACATCTCTAATCTTAATCAAATTCAATTTTTCCCTTCTATTCTATATTATACCCCTTCCCATTGTCATCTATTTTTATATCCATCCTCACATTGGTTAATTATGTAATATTACAGTTGTTTAATATAAATTCAACATTTTATTATAAATCAATTAGTTATATAACTATCTTTTTTGTATATTAATCAATATGAACATGAATATTCCAATTATTTCCATGCAATCCAATTTCTTACAAATCAATTAATTATATTTACCAATAATAATAAACCAAATAATTTCCTCCATATACTCCTCCAAACCACAACTTAACCATTTCTGCTTTCAACACAATATATAATTAATAGTATCTCAATTGTTACAATTCCCTAGTTAAATAGAGCTTTTTTTCTTTTGTGTTTTAAAATCTTGAACTCTCCTCTTTTGCCCTAAATTTCCCATTGTTTGCAGTTTTGCACCTACCTTTTTTGGTGAGGAAAAAGAAAAAGAAATCTCTCTCTGCCTCATTTTGCCACGTTGCAGCAACAGCAAAGCCAACAGTCTGCTTTACTTTCAGTTTTGTTTTTCAGCATAGCTAGGGGGAAAAAATCTGCTCCAGCAAGCAGCAAAGCCCTGAGCAAAACAGCTGAGAGCAAATCAGCTGAGAGTCGGGAGCCGATCTAATCAAGGGCTAATTAGCCTATGCTGAAGCTCCGCGGGCCAATAAAATTACAAAAAAACACTGAACTATTTGTTAAATTGCTGGCTCGCCCACCCCTCGCCCACCACTATTTATTGGCAATAAATAGTGGTGCGGAGGGGCGGGGCGGGGCAGAACCGGCAGAATCCCACCACTGGCTATAGGGCGGCCCTTTGAAGCCCCGCGGCAAGAATTTAAACAGTTTTTTTTCCTCTAGCCATCAGCTGGGACTCAGGAGGCAGCAATAGATTGGGAGTGGGCGGGGTAAACGAACGGCCGGCGATCCAACAGAGCAGAGAGTAAGGGTGAGTGAAGGCGTGGGGGGGTGAGAGAGGGCTTTGGCGACCCCTATGAAATGGCCGTTCGACCCCCAAAGGGGTCGTGACCCCCAGGTTGAGAACCGCTGCCTTAGACCCATGGGGATGAGAACCCTCACCCAACTCCATCAGGTCATTAGATGAGCCTTCAGCTGCCATCTTAATGCTTTGAGTCTACCTCTCTTTAGAACAGTTGCCTGCAGTGCCACTGAATTGAAACCTCAGTCCACAGTAGGTCAGTCTATCGAAAATACTGAAAGCTGTTTATCCAGTAGCCTTTCACCACAGTACGTAATGAGGGAAGTCACAAAGGCTCTCTAGTCCATGGCACTCCCAGGTGGCACTCCCAAGTTCCTGGGCCAGACTCTGCTGGCCGCTGCAGCAGCAACCCAGCCTTCAGCAGGTGGGGAGTGAGTAGCAGCTTTGTGCCTGCTCTCCTTTTTACTCTCTATTTTTATCCCTTTTAAATCCTTTTAAAATACTCTTTTAACTTTTAAATCAATTTTAACCTTTATTTCCCCTTTTTACTTTTTATTCTCTATTTTTATTTTTAATTTTTAACTCTCAATTTTAATTTTAATTTTTAACTTTTTAACTTTTAGCTATTAATTTTACTATTCGAAAGGTTCACTTTTTATCCCAGCTTTTTACCTCAGCTTTTACTCCAGCTGGTGAAGCATTTAGTGAATGAGAGGAAGTAAGTCTTCCGTACTAAGCAAACCAGCTATCCATGGCAGCCATCCAGTGCTCAGACAACCTAAGATCCTGACTGTGGGTTATTCATATAGCAACTGATTTGCCCCAGGGAAGAACCTTTGCAGCTGTGTTTGACTGGAGTCCGGATGGCCTCTCCCAAGGGGAAGAAAAGAAAGACGGCATATTGCTCTCCAAACAGTAAGGAAGGTGGAACCAATCCTCAAAAGCAACAGAAGATTGACGGATTTTGCCAGCCTTTGCACTCAACAGTGGGTCGTGCATCCTCCCCCCTTTCCCTGCCGGTTAGCCGTGATGTTTTGGCATTGTTTGGGGATTCCCCCCTGGAGTGGGAATTGCAGGCAGAGGAGAATCAATCAGGAAGTCAGCTGGGAAGCTTGCGAACCCCTCTGCGTAATTTGATGACAAATGACTCAGCAACTTTGGGTGAATGGCTCCAGGCCGGGACAAGGGCTTAGAGTCGGAGTTTTACAACCATAGTGAATTAGCTTTAGGACTTGAAAACCAGCTAAATGTTAGTACAAGGGATTTCATTAGCCGACACAGTATGCTCACTTCTCAGACAGTCTTGGCCATTTTTGACCAATTTGCAGAGGTGCGTTTAAAGTTGGACTCTGTGATCAATTTTATTGCTGCGGCACAGACGAAAAAGCCGCAGGTATGTTCAACTGGCTGTCAGACAGAACGACCCGGCCAGATGGTGCAACCGAGGGAAAGAACAAGCGGACAATATATTGACTGTAAGCATGGAAAAAAAGCAAAAGATGGTGAGCTGGTTGGACCTGAAATCCCACAGTACAGGAGTGGGGGGGGGAAACAGGCGATTATTGAAGGAGCAGATTGTATTGAATATATATAATTCTGAGATAAATGCGGGTAGATGGTCTTCAAAAAGACAGATAGTGACCTCTTTGTCACAGCTTACTCGGTGTGACAAGGGGGCAGTAGATTTGGCAGCATATGAACATCTTCCACAATGTGATAATTATTTCAGAATTCTTTTTAAGTTCAAACAACAGCTCTTCCCAAGCCTGCTAATGTGAATGAGAGGATTCTTGGCTTATTATCAAATTTTACCTGCCCGAGTTTTTTCTAGTGGTGAGGTCATCCCGCTAATTCAGAGAGCCCCTAGGGAGAGTGTGGCAGTGCATGGGACAGCTGTTTGGGAAAGTGGACTGAATAGGGAAAGCAGGCTGGCCGAGGTAGGGAGGAGATTTAGCGTTACAGAGGAAATGTCGGTTAGGGTTTTGGACCCAGCTGAAGTGAAACTTCCTTCAATTGGCTTGGTACAAGATGAGACATTTGATTCTGCCTGTTTGGAAACTTTTTCCTCACTTTCACAAATGGAGCAGCAAGAAGTACTTAAAAAACTTAAAGAGACGAGGAAGCTGCTGAAGCAGACTATTTCCTCTGCCGCTCCTTTAGCGTCGATAGCTCTACCCTCTTCAAGGCATGATGCAGCTCCGGAGAGTCAGCAGCCTATAAACCCAGGAAGCCTGATGCCCACGTCTATACAGCACAAGGTACCAGAGACAGTAGATTTGATAACACAAAGTGTTGTGGGACAAACATCGGAGATGGAAGGCACCCAGGAAGGAATCCCCCAATCCCCCTTAGTGGCAAAGATGATACCAAGAAACGACACAAACGCGGTGCCTCATGCAAAATCATTTACCGTGGAGGCAGAGATTAATAGAGCCCATGGACCTGCAAGTCCGAAAGTAACCGGCAGTGCAATGACGCCCAAACAGACTTCTATTGAACTCAGGTGATTAAATGGGTGTGTGTGTGTAAATGAGGTAAATGGGGTAGGAGAGATTATCCAAGCCTGACTAGGAAATAGCGAGCAACCACGTCCTTCAAGAGTGCACTTCCTCTCTTGGAATGTGGCAGGATGGAGAGGAAGTTGGTGCACAGATTACTGTATTAAATTTTTAAATAGGTACCATGTAATTGCCTTGCAGGAGACATGGGTTAGCAGCGATGAGACCCCAATTGAGCTCCCCGGGTTTAATATTTGGCAGCTGCCAGCAAACAGAGTAGCTAAAAAAGGAAGAGCCTCTGGAGGATTGGGCATCTTGGTAAAAGCCGAACTAGGATGGAAGGGAAACGAGATATGCTTGGAGGATGGCCCTCTATTTTTTCAAGCAATCCATTTGGTATATGAAGGGAAGTCAATGATATTTGCAAATGTGTACATCAACCCAGCAATGGGGGATTTGTGGGAGGCTCTAGAGGTAAAAATACTAGATATACGGAAAAAATTCACAAAAACACCTCTAATTTTGGCAGGAGACTTTAATGCACGTGTGGGTCCCTCGTTGGAACCTTTTATTGAAAATGGTACAATTCCAGAGGGATATTTACATAACCAACAATCATGGGTCTCCCAAGACAGGAAAAAGAACAAAGATGGGGGGAAATTTCTAACAATGGTATACAACTGTAACCTCCAAATAGTAGGTCGGAGCTCAGAAGGTATTCCATAACTTTTTTTGGCCCCAAGGCATGTAGTTCTATTGATTATTTTTGTGTCTCTCACAGCCTAGTAGCAGGGGCAACTTCGGTCTTGACGTTACCAAGGCCAGAAAGTGATCACCTTCCGATTGCGACGTCCCTGGCAATCCCTTCAGATTTAAGGAAAAGGAATCAAACAATCCAACAAATAGGCCTCAACTTAGAAATAGCCCAAGAGAGAAGATTAACATGGAAGAGGGTTGATAGCAAAGCAGTGACTGAATTCATGATTTCACCATGTATGGAAGCCTTAGCGCATATATGTGCAAACAGTACGGGTGAACAAGAGCCTATAGTTTGTTTTGCGGAAATATGCCATAAATTGCAGCATTTTTCCATGACTACCAAGCCAATGGGCCAGTCTGATTCTAGTAACTCAACATGGTTTGACAATGACTGTAAGGAAAAGGAAAAACAGCTTAGGAAATCACTTAGGAGATACTTAAGCAGCCCAAACATGGAACTACAGAAGGAGTATATTACCATAAGGCAGAAATATAAGCAGCTACTGAAGAGAAAAAAGGCCTCCTATACCAACAACTTATGGGCTGGTCTAGAACAGGCAGCAAAGCTGGCCTCACCTACACTATTCTGGTTGGAGGTCTTAAAAATTATTAGAGATAGAAAACTAATAAGTGACCCAAACATTAGTGCAGAAAGATGGGAGAAGCATTTGGCCACGCCAGCAGCAGTGGATAGCTCCGATGAGCTTATATCCTCTCCGGAGCTTGATACAGGAATATGAAGCTCTACCGCAGTGGGAAGAAGTGTCAATCATGGAGGTGAGGAGTTTAATCTCCTCCCTGAAGACAAACAAAGCTCCAGGACAGGATGCGCTCCCAGCTTCGTTATTTAAAGATAACATAGCCTGGTGAGCGCCCGTCCTGGTGGGTCTCTTTACTTTTATCAATAGAACAGGGCAAATTCCTGCTAGTTGGCGTTCATCAATAATTATCCCCTTACATAAAAAAGGCTCTAGAGATAACCCAGATAATTTTCGATTAATTAGTCTAATCGATATTTCAGCAAAAATTTATGCTAAGCACTTGCTTCATAAATTAGAGGATTGGATAATGAGAAATAACATTTTAGCTGAAGAGCAGTCAGGTTTCAGGAGCGGAAGATCTACTATGGATAATTGTTTTGTGCTGGACCATCTAATAACAAAGTTTAAGTCTTGGAAAAAACCTCTGTATGTGGCATTCATAGATTTGAAGGCAGCCTTTGATACAATTGATAGAAAAATTTTATGGGATAAATTAGAGGCTATGGGAATAGAAAAGAAATTGTTATATTTAATTCGACTGTTATACACGGAAACCCAAGTAAGAGTTCGAGTGAATAGGTCAGGATTGGTAACAAATGCAATCCCATTAAAAAAGGGCGTCAGACAAGGTTGTACTTTAGCCCCAACACTTTTTAATTTATATTTAAATGACCTCCCAAAATGTCTGGAAGATACATCACTCCATGGGCCTAGTATAGGAACAAGACAGGTCAATTGCTTGTTATATGCCAATTATATAATTTTGTTGTCAGCCTCACAGGTGGGGCTACGAAGGTCACTTGGGAGGTTGGCAGCATATTGTATAAAAAATCGCCTGACAATTAATATAGAGAAATCAAAGGTAATGATATTTAGCAGGCAACAAAATATAAGGAGATGGGTTCTAAGTGACAGAAGAATAGAACAAGTTCAGTCATTTACCTATTTAGGGCTAGTATTTCAGACAAATGGCAAATGGAATAAGCAGGTAAAAGCCGGAGCTCGGAAGGCCATGGCTCGGATGGCTCAATTAAACAAACTTATTTTAGAGAAAACTCCATCTTCATTAATCTCAGTGCTAAAGGTCTTCCAGGCGAAAATCGAACCAGTACTTACCTATGGGGCAGAAATATGGGGGTCAGTTAAGCTGCCTGGGCTGGAAATCCCTCAAAATAAGTTCCTGAGGAGAATTTTGTTAGTGTCCCCCGGAACCCCAGCATGTGTAGTAAGGGCACAAACAGGAGTCCATGCGACTGACACTAGGGCCTTGTTGAAGACTGTTTATTATTGGTTGAGAATAATCGAGATGGAGGAAGGGAGATTACCAAAATTAGCACTGATGGAGCAGATTATCTCAAGTAATAAAAATAACTGGTTATCAAGAGTTCTGAAGCAGGTGTCTAGCTCTGGTATCCCTTTAAATTGGCAGCAGTATGACTATAGGCAGATCCAAAATTGGATTGCACAGAGACTTAAGGACATAAGTGCCCAATCAGATATTGCACAGGTGACAGCAGTAAAAGTTTGCCCCTGGTTATCAGCCAATAAACAAATTTTCAAAATAGAAAAATATTTAGCTGTGCCTTTGTTTCCCGTCCTGAGAAGATTCTTTACAAAATTGAGGTTGGACCAACTTGGAACAAATATGCTCTGGGGTAGATATAAAGGTATTCCTGTAAGGGAAAGGGTCTGTCTATGTGGGACGGGGGAAGTCGAAACAACGTCCCACGTAATTTTTGATTGCCCCCTATATTCAGACCTGAGGGAACATCAACTGGGCAGGATCTTTTATACCAGCACCCCTAAGTCTAAAGAGCACTTTTTGCGATATTGTTTGTTAGGTTCCAACTTGCAGTTGGTAAAATGGATTGCTAAATTTGTGGTAAAGTTGATGGGAAGGAGGACAAAGTTGGTGCAGCAAAATGCGGTAGATTGTAAGAATGATCACTTGATCTAACAATGTAATTTTAATAGCAGTTAACACTGATTGGGTAGATGCAGGGGCAACATTATAATATAATTTTAATTATATTTAAATGGTATTTTAAATTATTGTATTTTATCCCGATTTTATTTTAGATCGTATTTTATTCTAATTGTGTTTTAATTGCGAGTTATTCCAATCTTACTTAATTTGTTTTACCAAACCTTTGTAATGATTTGTCTTTGTAATTCTGCACTTGATATGGCCCAAAGGGCTAATCAATAAATAAAAATTACAATTGCGTGGGGGGGGCGAGAGAGGGCTTTGGCGACCCCTGTGAAATGGCCGTTCGACCCCCAAAGGGGTCGTGACCCCCAGGTTGAGAACCACTGCCTTAGACCCATGGGGATGAGAATCCTCACCCAACTCCATCAGGTCATTAGATGAGCCTTAGCTGCCATCTTAATGCTTTGAGTCTACCTCTCTTTAGAACAGTTGCCTGCAGTGCACTGAATTGAAACCTCAGTCCACAGTAGGTCAGTCTATCGAAAATACTGAAAGCTGTTTATCCAGTAGCCTTTCACCACAGTACGTAATGGGGGAAGTCACAAGGACTCTCTAGTCTATGGCACTCCCAGGTGGCACTCCCAAGTTCCTGGGCCAGACTCTGCTGGCCGCTGCAGCAGCAACCCAGCCTTCAGCAGGTGAAAGAGAAAATTGCTGGCTGGAACTGGTCAGCCTCCTGTCTGATCCAGTATTGAGGCTGGGGCTTCAAAGCTCTTGAGCAGACTCGGACCAGTGGCCGTCACACTCCTAAATTTGAAGTCAAGCCCCTGAGGCCTCATTGCAGTCAATTGGAGATCATCATCTCCCTAAATCTGAGCCATGCCCGAGGGCTGAAACCAGACCCTTCTACCAGCCATTCCCAGATCTTAAACCCCCAAAATCAATAAGAGTTGCAACATTGTAATTTGGAACAAAATGACCACCGCTGCTGCTCCCAGTGGCTCTGACAGCTGTTTTGTGCCTAAATGCGCTCCGTGCCAAAGCCGCAGTGAATCTGGGCCTTCTTGCACACCCCGGTGTTGTCACAGCCGCCAAATGGTGGCGCCACTTGCCACCGCGCCACTACTTAGCTGCTCCGCGGTCGCCAGGGGTGTATAGGAACGATCTTCCACCTTTCCGGGGTTCCGGCTGGATCCTTTGTCCAGTTGCAAGTGCTCCCTGTCACGGAACCTCCAAAATGGTGGTTCCCCACAGCAGCCGCCAATGGTCTGCCCGGCCTGCCAGCTGCTTTGTGCCGATCCCCAGTGTGGAAGAGTGCTGCAACTGTCTGGAGCCTAAAGCTATCTGTTTTTATATTGTCTGAAACTCTCCAATAATACTTAAACCCTTATCAACTCCAATTAACCATGCAGGTCAGTTCATACAGGTCATTGAAACCCTGTCTGAATTGCTCAAGATTGAGTTGAAACTGGGAGGAGCACCAGAGGGGGTGTCCCTTCAAATTACAACCCAGTCTGTAGAGCTAGAAGACAGAGTGAATCCCATGGCTGGAGTC